CATGGAGGCGTTTATTCATGGAGGCGAAACGTCTAGTGAAATTGTTTTTTCCTGTCTATGAAGTCGGTGCTTTTATTTTAATTATGTTACCAGTCGGCCTGTGTGACCAGTGCTCATTTGAAGAATCGCCTTTGTCTTTTTTGAACCCTAACAAAAACAACCTCATAACATTTTTTTTACTGTTCGGCTACGTTGGCATAGCCTATAATCGACATAATTTTTGCGAAAGCCTACTTTTATTTTATAATTATCTGTAACCATTTCTAATTGAAGAAGTGACAAGTATAATAATTATATTATGATTTCATATCAAAATTCGACGAACCGGGAGATGCGAAATTCGGTGAAACAGCTTTTCAAAAAAATATCCGGTGCCCGAAACTTGCTTATATTAAAATGTCTAACATGTGTATGTGTTCTAATACAGAAGATGAGTGCAATGTGGAAACTGAATGGCCTCACAAACAATTGTCAACGAGTTGGAATTTTTGATGAATTACCCTTTGTCGAGTCATCCTACTACCGATTGGCCTCTTCAATCAATTGCCTGTCGACAAATATTGTTGTTGGTTTATTTGCCATCTGCTGTAAGGGGAGAGTGTGGGGCTCGTCAAGCCGACATCTGCCAGCATTTTCATCACGCCTCCAGCGCCTGTACCGACTGACGCCGACGAGTTGGCCTAGAAATAAATACCCACGGACTATACTATAGCCGCTAAATATCTCTACGCGAACATGATTTGTTTTCAAAGGGGCACCCGCCTGTCGGTGCTTCTTTGAATTATACATACGTCACGGTCAAAACGTTCCGCAGCTAATGAGTGAAGGCCGACCAACCTATTTTGTCCAAATGTCCGTGTATGGGAGATGAGAATGCCACTGCGTCAAAGGCAAGACGTGTGCGAGCGTCGCTAAAAATAGAGACCACTATCGATGTTTTAGTATACATGGTTTCATTCTTAGTCAGAGCGCAAACAGAGGTTAGATGTCACGAAAACACATACACAAAGACACAAAGCACTTTATCACGGCGCATTGTATGAGTTGTTATATTAGTGGGTGGAATCACCCAAACAAAGATAGTGAACGCCGTGGCGTTTAGGTGTTGAGCTGTTGGTGATGCTTGATCGGCGCAATGTGTCAGTCGAGCTCCAACTGAGGGTGATATGAGGCGGGGCAGCTCTGTGGTTTTACTTGTTGTGTTGCATAGTTAGTTTCGGCCGTCAGCAAATAGTGAAAAATATCTATCTACCTATCTCTCTCTCTCTCTCTCTCTCTCTCTATATATATATATATATATATATATGTATATACAAAGGCAAAAATGCGTACTGTCAGAGTTACTAATTCGAAGTTTACTACGACGTTTCGAGCGGGGACCACTCTTCATCACCTAATGAAGAACGGTCCCCGCTCGAAACGTCGGAATAAACTTCGAATTAATAACTCCGACAGTACGTATTTTTGACTTTATATATATATATATATATATATATATATATATATATATATATATATATATATATATATATATATATATATACATTTTACTAATACAATGTCTGGACATTTACACTTACCAAGTAACCATTTTCAGCTGTGATTTGAGACTGTGTTGCGCTTATCCCGCTCTTATTTATTTATTTTTTGTTTCTCTTGTTTCTGGCCTTTTTAGTATAGGCTTCCACCAGCTCGCTTGCGCGTGAACTCTAATTTCAAGTGAAACAATTTTGTAAATTAGGGCGACACTATATAGGTTTGAAATCCTATACCAATTTTATTGCCATTTGGCGAGCCACGTACGAATTTTGAAATATATCTTTTCATCCAAATAATCGATTAGTAAATCGAATAGCGATTCGGACGAATTTACTACGGCGGGAAGAACGAATTTGCAAATCTCATGGCAATTAGGAAATTTCAGCCATCCTTGGTTTCCGATTGGTCGCGCTCAGTAGCGGCTCCCTCCGCACAGAGTAGCCTCGAGTCAGAATTCGCGGAGTCTCTACTGACCGGCCAAAAAAGTGCGGCGCTTCAACTGCTCCCGCCCAGACGACTTGATGTATTTGTATACGCCCATGACATCGGCCGCAATCGGCGATTGAGGTTCCGTTAGCCGACGCAAGCGTCAGCGGACGTCTCATATTTCCATACTCTCATTTAACTACAGAAACAAAAACAACAAAAAAATCATCCAGTTCATGCTCACTATGTTCACCACTGACAAGATAGTCGGTAGTTTACGAGTTTCCGTGCAAAGCCGATCAAAACGAGGCACCAGGTCAACTTTTACGGCTGCCATCAGGAAAGATCTGGCTTGTCGCGTTCCCTCAACGTCACTCCGAATATTGTTTGTGCCCCACGCACCATCCTCTTGTAGCAATATTTTTATTGTCCCCATGTGATTTCTTTTTTATGTTCTTACTGGTGTTTGATCATAATTCGGTCATTGAAATAGTTTTTGCTGCCGACCCTACCATTATTTTGACCCTCTGGCAGCAAAGGAATATTATGCCGGCATTACGCACGAAATAAGAATGTAGACACTCCGTCCCATATCTCAAATTACATCACAACGTGTTTACACAACTGTAGTGCAGAGGTACGATGAGCAGGTTCTGAGAAAATATTAGTTTCAGTATTTTCAAAAGAGCGACGAAACAAAATAAAGGACCGCCAATCGGCAGCGCGTGCAAGCAGAGGCAGTAGTGACAGGAAGCGCGAGGTGTGTCTTTCGTACGGCCGGCATCAACTCACGCACTGTCCGAAGATGTACTCTGTTTTACTCGTAGGATTGCAACGCTGCGGAATGTAGGCGTCTGATTTCAGAAAGCGCGTCCTACCATTTCTACGCGCGAGTGCTCCTGCAACCCAAGCATTGTATACAGTTACGTCCTCGCGCCCGTGCCTTGGCCAGCCCCGTACACAACTTATGCAGTATCGAAAAGGCATAGTTCAAAATTGACGGTCCCACTTTTCCATACCGCTTCAAAACCCCATCTCGCTCAAATCACTTGGCAGCCGGACAATTTTGGCAGGGGGCCTCAAGTTGGGGATTATCCGGTACATTGTCCTCCCAACAATGAACGTGGGCGCGACGCGCCAGAGGGTGAACACGTGAAAGGAGGGGCGTAAGAGTGGAGAAGGAAACTCAAGGTCGCAAGCGACGGGAAAAAGGGTTTCGAAATTGGCGCGCAGGTTTTGCAGCATTTGCTCATACGGACAGCCAACGCCGCCCTGGTGGTTCAACTAATGTTTTGTTCAAGATGGCCGCCGTGGTACCGCAGCCTTAACGGCCGGAAAACCGGCCCGAGGGGGCACCGGGAGACATCCAGTTTCGTGTCTCTGACTATGGGAAGTGGGGAGAGAGCGCTTTTCTTCGCCTCGGGTACATGGCACCTATCAGGCTTTTGACGCGTCTGTTCACGTTTTCATGACAACATTTTTTTAATTAACGTCAAATAGAGCACATTTACTGAGCTGGCTAACTCAGTACACTTCCAACCAGTTCACGTCTTTCCATTTTCACTTCCCAACCAGACAGACGTCTGTCGAAGATGTTTACCTTCAAGTTCACGTCATGCGCGTAGTTGTCTTGGCCGGGACAAGCGGCTGCAGGGCGGAAAATTGTCCCCTTCCTCTTCGCGATTTATTCGAACACTCGCAAAACTTTAATAACTCAAAACGTGTTTTTTTTTTTTAAATATTAAACGAAGGTAAAGCGAAAGTGGCAGGCACCAGATTCTTTGAACACTAAAATAATTTCATGGCCCCTTTAAAGGGGTCATGAAACGTTATCGGATCGTAACGTTCATGACCTTGCCGGTTCGTACTGGTCCCAGCTTGGCACAAGCATACTCGCACAGACCGCCACTGATTCAGAAACTTCTTTGTCGCGGTGAAATTGTGAAAGTGCGAAGATAAAAGGGCACTACTGCTTTCAGTCTTGCCTTTTCAAAGCTGGATGACGTGATTGTGGAATCGAAACCACCCGACTGACGACAGACGATTCTATTTAGCAGAAGTAGAAAAATCGTTTCAAGGCTCCTTCAGGATGCGCCTTAAATGGCCACTTGGAAGAGAATAACTCTCGATAATTCACCGGTTCTTTTCATGCAGGTACGATATCGAACTTGGCCAATCGGAAGGCATCATGACGGAAAATAATTCAAAATAATAATTTAAAAAATATATCTTTTTTAAAGGCGGGTCGTTATTATGGTAAACTTTTCCATTGTAATAAACTTTCAGGTTTGATATAAGGTATATCGAAATTTAAGTTAGCATTTGATAAGCGGTTGCAGTAATGGATCATGGGATGCAAGGCTCCAAATATGTCGCGAAAATATGAAGGTACGACGTTGTTTTTTTCTCGTCTTTGTTACGTGCGAACAAAATAATCCAGTTTGCACGGACAAAATTGACTAGGTGCCGTACATTAAAAGGAGAATTAATATATAATTTACGTGTTTATGCAAACAAAAAAAAAGTTATATATGTACGTATTATCGCAATACATCAAAAGACGATTAAAAGTGTACATGGCTTTTTATCAATGCTGCTCAACCTGGACAAGGGGTACTAGCTAGGGTCCTTCTCCTACTCTAAAAGTCTAAAATGCCTCGAACATAAAGGTGTTCAAGGCGTCGCGCGGAGCAAGATGTCCCGTGACGCTCTCGACTTCCAGCGTAGGCTGCGGTCAATCAATAGGTGAGACGGAGTATAACCTGGGGTCTTTAGGTGTACCACGCAGTAGTGGTTACACGAACGCACGTCGATGCTGGTCTTCCGTACAGCGTGGTGCTCACACGTCACACGGCGCACAGCTGGCGTGCCAAAGCCGCCGCCGCTACCGCGCGCGCGATTCGCCGGTCTGCCCATTCCAGAGGAGTGACGTCATAGGCGCGGCAGACGCACTGGCGCCGCCGGGTGCCCAGCTGTCCGCCTCCGTTCCGCAGTAGCCAAGTCTGTCACTGCACCGGAGCTGCTTGATAGCGCCCCTCATTTTGTGCGCATAAGCTCACGCTACGTATATCCTGGCATAGTCGAGCTAAGCCACCGCAATCTTTTTACGTCATACATGCCAACCCTGAATCAGAAATGAGTAAAAGGAAAATTTACGTGCTTTCGAGGATACCTAAACTCGCGTATCAGCTCACCGATGCACTGAAAGACGACGCTTCAGTTGTCGAAATAACGGCGAAGTGTACGTATTGACCTTAACTCTTTCTTGGAATCATTTCGATGATGAACGCTTCTAACTCGAGTTGACCCTGATCCCTCAGTTACCATCCACGATGACGAAGCAACGATCAAACCGGAGGTTGTCGAGAGGCTCCAGAGCGCGGAGATTCTGATCACCGATACGCTCATTTTGAAAGACATCCTCTACAATCTACCGAACATGAAGTGGGTCCAACTGACAACTGCAGGTGAGAGGAACATAGCTCTCTTAATAAACTGGTGCCCTTCGGTTTATCGACCAGCCTAATACATTGCCGGCCTCTGAGCCTTAAAAGCCATGGATCTAGTGAACAAAAGGTTAGGGCGCAAATGAGCTGGTGGGGTTTAAACATTTGACTAAAATCTCCGAGACTGGGACGAGAAAGGACGGACAAACACATAGTCTTAAACACAGCTGTGTTCGAGACTTCGTGTTTGTCCGTCCTTTTTCGTCCCAGTCTCAGGGATTTTAGTCAAATGTCATGGATCTATTCAACTCAATGACTGCATGAGCGGAAAGGACCAGGCCAATTGGGAGCCTCGAAGGGAGAAAGGGAGGGGGAGGAGGAGGAGGAGCAGGAGAAAGGGGAGGTGTGGCAGGTTTAGTCTGACAGGAATGAAAATTATGGGCCAAAGGCAGTACGTGTTGAACGTGAATACCAAGGTGTTTTCATGCCTACAGCTCACTGACGCATGGTACGAATTCTGTATATATCTCGTGATAGTAATCTCTTAGGTCAGTGGAGCTGTAAACACGTGCTTAAACGCCTAAGGAGTAAATCTACCGTGGGTTAGCATGCTCATGTCATGTTAGAGCGAAGGTTTTACGGCTGCAGTTCGGTGGTCCGAAGCGTCAATCTCGACGCGGCGTCATTTCCAACCCGGTACATTTCGGAATCTGCTGCAGCCGCCTGCGATGATGCAGAGGCACGAATTTCAGTCACTTGAGACTTGGCCGCTGTGGCCGCTCTGGCCATGTCTAGGGCTCTACTCAGTGTTAGAGTGGTCTTGACGAGCAGACGCCGCTGTAGTCGTCGTCGTGAGGGCCGCAAACGACGCGGTCTCGGAGCTCGTCGTCAATCCTGCCGTCTGCTGAAATCGGCGGCTCAACCAGCAGCGCGAACAATCGTTCAAGGACACCTCTACAAGGAACGCGCTGGTGTTGCAATGGGGCGGATGACTCAAATACGTGCTGCTTTGTTGGTGCGGTGTGCCACTTCTGCAATAATAAGGGACAAAGCGCAGTGCCAAAATGCGAGAGCCGAACGCCAATGGTCGATTGTTCTCAGCAACAAACTGAAGCCCCCGTGATGAAGCGATCAACGGCTGTGGCGTACGAACGGAAGTAAACTCCTTATCTGCCTTGACGGGCATCAACTCGCGTGTGATGCGTCGACAGCTTCACATATCCAAGAGCAGCCTCAAACCGTGCTCTTAAGTCAACGGTCCTATACGTAGTGGACCTTAAAGTTTATCAGGAAGGTTTCAGCCGACGTGTCCTTCAAAGAAAAATGCATGAAATCAAATCTTCTGGTCGTCAAAGGATTTAGCAAAAGACTGCTTGGGCGCGACTGGTTCCGGTCCTTCGGCATCATCTTGGAAGGAGTCCTTAATGTCGTCGCGTCAGGCCGAGGTAGCCACGGTTCACAACATGGTGGACGAGTTCCCCGAGCTCTTTCAGCCAAGACTCGGAAAAAGCAAAAGGCTTCCGATTCAAATGGATGTCGACCCCGCCATGACACCCAAGTTTTTCAAAGCTGGCCAATGGCCTCTGCACTTTCTGCCCAAAATAGGCGAAGCCATTTATTAACTGGTAGAAAAGGGAATTTTTGAACCGGTACGCTATTCTTCTTGGCCGACCCCTGTCGTGCCCATTCTCAAAAAGATTGGAAACATTCGCCTGTGCAGAGTTTACAAATGTACAGTAAGCCGTGTCATCCAATGGGAAACATGTCCATTGCCAATTGCCGATTAGCTGCTCTCGAAACTGGCTGGTTGTCAAAAGTTTTCACAATTGGGTCTCGAACAAGCATACCACCAGGAAGTAGTGGACGAAGCTACAGCAGACCTTCAAACAGTTAGCAATTATCGGGGTCTTTTCAGAGTCACCCGTCTGCTGTTTTCTGTCGCCACAGCTGTAGCGATTGTCCAACGCTACATGGAAGAGCTTCTCGCGGGACTCGATGGTGTCTTAGTATTTTTCGACGATATTGTAATCGGCGATCAGAACGACGAAGAACACGAGTCACGTCTACGGGCTATCCTGAAAAGAATCGATGACGACGGGCTGCGCCTAAACAAAAGCAGGTGTAGTTTTAGAGTGCCTGGAGTGTCCTTCCTGGGATACAAAATTGACAAGAAGGACATTCGCCCCCAGAAGAAAAAGTGCAAGCTGTTCAGATCACTCCTTAACACACGAGATAAACAACAGTTGCAATCCTTCCTGAGACTTCTCCACTTTTACGGACGTTTTCTTAAGGGTGCAGGTTACGTTTGAAACCTCTTCATTGCTTGGCCAAGGCGCTCTTTAGAAATGGGGACAAAAGGAAGCAGCAGTTTTTCGACAAGCCAAAGTTCTTACAGTCATCCACCATGTTGGACCATTACGCCGTCAATCGTCCCTTAATTTTGGCCTGTGACGCCTCCTTGTAGGACTTAGTGGTTGTTATCAGCCACGTGTCACAGGCGTGCGAAGAATTTCCCGTGGCATTTGAATCAAGAACAATGACGCGAGCTGAAAGGAACTGCTCGCAGACAGTTGTGAGACGTTGGCTGCCGTTGCTGGCGTGAACAAGTTTCACCATTTTCTGTATGGGCGTCGCTTTAAGATTTTCACAGACCACAAGAATCTTCTCGTGTTAGTATACCACACGAAACCAATTTCTCAGGCTCTGTCTCTATGCTTACAGCACTGGAGCTTTATGCTACTTCAGTATGATTAATTGTTTATTTACGGACCTGGGAAACAGATACAGTCAAACTATTTATATCGAACACGGATATATAGAATTATTGCTTATATCGAATTGTTGTCGTACTGTTAAAAGATTTACATGCATTTAAAATTTTTTATACCAAAATCGGTCGGGTAAAAAATTAAAATATGGAACTTCGCAGGGCGCCCGAAAAGCGTGCGCTCCGGAGGCAGGCGGCAGGCTTTCCCGCAACACATCAGAGGATACTACGGGGTTTCCGGCAACACATAGGATGATAGCGGTGGCGCAACTGGCGTTTGCGACTTTTACAAACGCATGCCTGCGTAAAGCTTTACGCCTATTGTGCCGGGAGCGCCATCCAGACTCGTCCGACTCGGCGGCATACGGGCTCAGTCGCCCAGTCAGCTCAATCGTATCGCCAGCATGCTTCGCCAGTATCGCTCTTTTCATGCGCTGTGCGTAGGTCCCGCAGTTTCGTTCCTCCGGGTTCATTCCTTCGACGTTGCGTCAACCGCATATGGCGTACTGATGGCAACGAACGTAAAGAAACTTACGCCGCTGACATTTGCGACGAAGCTTGAAATCATCTGCTACGTTGAAAAAGGAGAAAAGAAGTCCAGCGTTGCCGATACGTAGTACAACATGCCGCGAAGAAATTTGAGCATGCTGCTGAAGACGAAAAGTGACATCAAATCGAAGGCTGAACGAAACATGCACTCCGGCGTACACCGTGTTCGGACACCGGTTTTCGAAAACGTGGAAAGATCACTTCACAAGTGGTTTATGAACGCGAGGGCTCGGAACATTTCGGTGTCGGGGCCGATGCTTCAACGGAAAGCAAATGACTTTGCGTTCATCCACCAAGCACAAAACTTCGCTGACTTGGGGCGAAGCGGTAGCTGCTTTAACGCTTTATGCCGCTACTGCAGCGCAATTTCGACGGTAATGGTAACGCGCTTGTAGACTGCTTGGAGACCGTGGAGCGGGCCGTAATAAGGCATGCGGTAAACTCCAAGAAGCAATCGACGCTGCGGCAGTTTTTTTTCGCTGAAATAAATAGTTTATCTTAACGCTTCACGTGAATAGACATTTTGCCGCAATCTCTTTGGTGATTAGATCGCTCTGCACTTTGACGCGTTTCTGGTGTGATTTTGTATATAGAATTTTGGTTACATCGAATTATTTCACGGTCCTCGCGCTGTTCGGTATAACGAGGTTCGACTGTATACGAAACTGACCTTTTTAGCCATCTTGCTCAGAAGATCGAGACTTTGAAGTACCCACCCGTCTTGATGTTCTCATCAAGTCCACTCCGGAGGTGCCCATCGACGCGAGAGAGAGGGCAGCGTTGACCAAATTAGATTGAGTTCTTTCACCTGTACTGCATTAAGTTCTGCATGGCTGGTCGTCTGAGAAACCTTCAAAGAATTTCGTACCTTTCTACGGTCGCAATGACGAGCTGTCTGCCTACAATGGTTGTATGTTGGTAGGTAGTCGTGTCATCACACCTCCATTTCTCCGGGAAGAAGTCTTGGACCTATTGCAAAGCTGTTACCCTGGTGTGGTGAGGTTAAATGGTTTTGCAAGGGGCTGTGACTGGTGGCTGAGTCTCGAAGCGCGCCAACCACGCATCTGTGAACCCGTGGAAATTTACAACAAGGCCGTAGTCGAGGTTGCACGTCGACATTGCAGGTTTCTTTCAAGGGGCGTTTTTATTCATCGTGGTGGACTCGCACCCCAAATGGTTAGAAGTCTTGCGAGTAAAGTCCACCTTGTACTCTACTGTAATAACCGCACCTCATACCTTTTTTGCGACTGACAGTCTTCCGGACGTGATTGTCTCGGACAATAGTATACCGCTTTCACTTCGAGTGATTTTAAAGGAGTTGTGCAACAATTTTAGTGCTTTGCTTAAATAATCGTGGGAGTTGGTGTCTCGTCCTTTCTAAAGTAAAGAACAAAAAACCGCTTTTGCCCCCATTCCCTAGTTTTTATTAAAAAAAAAAAAAACACAAAGATTGAGATTCTTGGCGCCTCTCAACTCTTTCCCCATCTTCCGAGTCAGGTGCGTTGTGACAGAAAATGGTGACGTGCTGGGTTCCGGTAAAGCTCTCTGGCGCCACCAGTGAGCAACAAAAACTCACCTACTTGTTACCACTTAACCACGTATTTGTGCCGCCCGATCAACGTGGCAAAAGGAGGAAAGTGCCAACGTGCCTGTCCAAATCCTGCTGTACACGTCCGGCTTCTGGCGGCTCCTCGCGGCGTAACTC